GGTGGGGTAGTGACGATGGTGGTGGGGGTGGCGGTGGTGGAGAGACGACAATGATGATGGTGGTGGGGCGACGGTAGTGGTGATGGTTGTTGTAATGCCTCAAAATCCACCATATGAGGCATTACTATCTATAATTATTCGTATAATGAGAGCAACTAATAAAATCTATAAATAAACGAATTTTTATTCATCATCCATAATAATTAAAACATCATCCAAAATAGTTATGCCACACTATGACGATTACATCCCAAAAATCAACTATTATCTTGTAGTGGAATAAAAGAAATATTAACTTTAACATTATCTCAAAATTTGCCCCCCAATCTAGAACATAAGGGAAATAGCTCTAAACGTCCTCCTCAGGATCCCCGTTCCCATCAATCTGGGCTTTCCAATGCAATTGCTTATCAACTCTGAGCTCTTCCTCTAAATCATAATCTGAAAAAGATATTATTTTTTAGAGGGTGGCACTAAACTTTGTAGGAAAATTCTCCCCAAGCTCAAACAAGGTTTTAAAAACATATAAAATAAGTCAGTCTCATTTCACAAATATCATATATAACTTTTGAACGAAAACAGTGACAGTTCATTCAATCTCAAGTTTACGGAGTATCAATAAATTAAATGAATAAGTAAAACCAACTTTCAACAATGAACCATTTCCAACATTTTATATCATTCCCAACAATTTTGTATCATTATATCCAATTATATCTCAGGTAGAAAGTAAGACTTTGCATGAATACACACATTGAGAATATCTTGGCTCACATACACACACACACACACACTTAATCCTCACATGGATATATAACTTTAGGAAGGACGTATACCAACAAATCGACAATGACGATCTAACCCAAGAATAGTATACTAACCATCAGCTTCGAAACCACGTGAACGAATAGTAGTTTGATCATCGTAAGGCACCAACTCCACTCCAAGTGGTAAGGAACTTTCAAACTCACTCGGAGTAAGAAACGCATCTACCTACTCTACGATACCCGGTCAACGGTCACTCATGTTCATCCAAACATCCATACAAGAGGTACAATACTTAACCAATTTCTCAAATCACAAGTAAATCAAGAACTCTAAATTTCACATGTATTTTTTCAATATAACAACTTAAGAAAATAAGCAAGAGATTATCAAAAGATATAATTTTATTGTTCCAACTAAAACACTAGAGTTTTTGAATCAAGAACAATGAAATATCAAGGGAAAAATCTCTATTTCTTGAAAAACAAAGATTTTATGGCTATCAAACTATAACTTCATTCAAAACAGGATATGATTTGCAAGAACATCAAGAAACAAAGATTTCATAACAAATATCTATGATTGAGAGTCAAAACATACATATATATAAACCCTACCCTCAATAGACATGATTAAGAAGAAACTTCTACCTTACTTCCTTAGTGTTGTGTGAAAAACTAGAGGTTTTGATCTGATCTAATGTAAAAATCTCCTTCAATCTTGTGTTTCTCCCCTTCTTTCTTACTCTCCAAGGCTCACTAAGGTTGGAATTGATGAAACGGGACTAAGGGAGGTGTCCTTAGGTATTTATAATGTAGAAATTTGGATAGAACACCCAAAATAGGTTAGGGACGTGAAACCCTTCGTTTAGTACGTCTGAATGCATGTTTTTTTACTGTTCAGACGCCTGTTTCTTCGCCTAACTTCCTGCCAAATGCGTTCAGATGCGTGTCTATTTCCGTCCGGACGCAGGTGACAGTATACCTTCAACTTTTAGATCGATTTTGACTTATTTAGAAGCCGATTTAAAATTTTTTTGTGAAATACACTTTTGTAGTCCTTGAAGTCTACTTTCTTCTGTCCAAAAAATCAGATTAATCAGAGTTAGGCGTAAAAATTTATGGCTAAAATACTAAGATAATATCAAATTCATTCATACCCGAATTTTTTTGAAATTGCATTTTAACTTCGAGATACTTCCTAACTTCTAATACACCCCATATTACCTTTTTTAAAGTGTCTCGACCTTCCGGATTCAATAAAAATCTTATTTTCACCTAAAAATATTATAAAATTACTTGGCCATACTTTTCAATTCAAACATTTCCAAAACTCTATTTATCTCGACGTAAATATATGCAAAACTCAAACTTTATAGTCAATCTTTCAATTATGATTCAAGATTTCTACAATATTTTTATTCATCCTAGGACAAATATTAAGATGATATTATTTTTATTTAATTCTAGTACGGGGTCTTACAATTGTTGTGGGGGTAATGGTGGTAAGGGTGATGGTGGGACAATGACGGTGGTGGTAGGGTGGCGACAACGGTGGTGAAGGTAATTGTGGTGATTTTTGTGGCAGAGGTAGTGGTAGGGTGTCGCGATGGTGTGGTGATGATGGGTAGGGGTGTTCAAATTTTTGATTGAACGCAATTTCCTACCCTACTCGACCCTACCCTACCCTACTTAACAGCTAGCTGCAAAAATCGGATAGGAATGCAGAAGATTTTTTGGTATTCCCATTAAATCAGGTAGGAATACAGAATACCCATCAATTTTCACATTTCTATCCTAACCTACCTGCAAAAAATATATTTAATTTTTTAATATTTTTTTAGTAATTATAAGAGTATTTATGTGATATAATTTATATTATAACATTGTTGTTGTTATGGATGTTTGAGTTGCGAAAATATGGACTTATTTTTTGTGTAGGTTACATGATTTGTGGTGAACTAGTGAACTATTGGAGCAGTTATGATTTTAATGTGTTTCATATGGTTTAAACTTAAAATAATGTGTTTCATATTGTTTGTATGGTTTAAACATAAACTTAAAACATATTTTATTATGTTTTATTGTAATTGTTGTTGTAGTTGTTTTAGATTTTAGTGTTATTGATTTATTGTGTTGTTAAATTGGTGAATGTTATTTAATTGAATTATTAAAATGATCCAAAAATTAATAACTATAAAAGTGTTTACCCGATTTTCTATCTGACTTCTTACCTGATTATTTGGGTAGGAAGTCGGGTAAGAATATCACACCTAATCGGGTAGGGTAGGCCAAGAAAATATTCTTCCGCAAAGTATGAGGTAGAAAGACGGAAGACAATATTTCTTACCCGTAAGGTAGAGTGAACACCCCTAGTGATGGGGTGGTGGGGGTGGTGATGGTTATTGTTTTGGCAGAGGTGGTGGTGGGGTGACAACGTTGATGGTGGTGATGGTAGTTGTGATGGTGGTGGTAGGGCAGTGGCGATGGGGGTAGTTGTGGTGGTAGAGTGGCTGCGGCGATGGTAGTGAGACGATTTCAAACACTATTTTCTTTATTTATAAAAATACTTATGAGAAGTTATAAGTTGTAGAAACACTTTTAAAAAGTCATCAAAAACACACCCTTATGACCTATTTTTTCTATTAAATTGAAGATTAATATTAACTATCAAATTAACTTTAAAGTAAAATTTAAAGAGATCTCAATTGCAAAAAGTAAAAGTCATTTTATTTTTTATTTTTTGAGGTTTGAATTGTATTGTATTTTATTATATAAACTAATTATTGTTCGTGCCTCAGTAATAAAAAAATAATTAAGAATAAACATATTTATATTTACACTCAAAAGTAAATCATAAGCACAGAGGAGATAGAAAGAAATTTAAGCATCAGTTGTAGTGGATGTGAATGGTGGTGATAGTGGTGGTGGTGGGAGACGGTGACGGTTGTGGTGGACGATGACAACCGTGGTAGTGGTGGTAGCTATGAGTGACAATGGTGATGATGGTGGTGGATTTTGGGTAACAAAGGTAGTAGTGATATGGGTGATGACGATGGTGGTGGACAACGGTGATGGTGGTTGGGCAACAACGATGGTAGTGGACGGAATGGATGGTGGTTGTGGGTGACGACGAGTGTTTCTGGGCGACAGTGTAATGAGTGGTGGCGAATGACGGTGGTGGTGGTGGTGGTAAGTATGATGGGAGATATATGATAACGGGTGACTGCGTTGGTGGGCGATGATGGGTGGTGGTGGTTGGTGGCAACCGTGGGTGACAACAATGATGTGGTGATGAGTTTTGGGTGATGATGGTGGTAGTGACAACCATGGATGGTTGCGGTGGTGGTGGGGCGACAATGGTGGTGGGGGCGATGGTGGTAGGTTGTTGTGGTGGATAGTGACGATAGTGGTAGTGGATAATGAGGGGTGCTTTTGGATGACAGTGTGATGGATGGTGACAAATGACAACGGTGGTAGGTGTGGTGGAGGTGGGTGATAGTGGGTTGTAACAGTAGTAGACGATGACAGGTGGTGGTGGTTGGTGTGGTAAGAGTGGGTGACAGTGGCTGGTGACGACGGGTGGTGGTGAGTTGTGATTGTGGGTAATTATGGGTGTTGACGGTAGGCGACAGTGGTAGTGGGATGATGGTAATAGTGGCAACAAATATAAGAATGAGATGATGATGATGATGAGTGATGGCGATGGATCACGGTGGTAACAATCAGTGTTGGGTGACGATGAGGGTGGTGGTGGTAAGACAGTGACGATGATTGTGAGAGTGCGACAATGATGGTGGTGGTAGGAGTGATGGTGGTATAGTGACAGTGGTAAATAGGGTGGCGGCAATAATAGAATTGGTGGTGGTAGAGGTAATTGTTGTTGTTGGGTGGCGAGGCAGTTTCAAACACTACCTTTTGATTTTTAAGTATTTATAAGAAGTTATAACTTATAAGTTCAGAAATATTTTTGAAAAGTCATCTCAAACATATCGTTAGAGACTTATTTTTCTTATTAAATTTGGGATGTTAATATTAGTTGTTATATTAATTTTAAAGTAAAATTTAAAAAGATGTCAACCACGAAAAATAAAAATTATTTTATTTATTTTCTGATATTTAAATTGTATTATACTTTATTATATAAATGTTATATTCATTGGTCGATTGTTGAGTATTTCTTCTTTTTCGAAACGGAAATTCAGCATACGACGTCGTGTGCGATCACCCACTTTCATCCCAAATTGGAATCCATTTCGCTGCCTTACCAAACATACTTTCTCCCTCGGTCTCTTCTCCTTCACTCTCCGATCCACCTCTCTCTCTCTCCCCCCTCAAATGGATGTAGAAATGCATCCCAACGGCAACTCCCCCACCGCCACTAACCTTGCCGCTGCTCTCCCCACCGCCACTCCCACCGCCACAGCACCGTCGTCGAAACTGAGTCAACTGGCGGAGTCTTTAAAACTGGAGCACCAGTTCTTGCGAGTCCCCTTCGAGCACTACAAGAAGACGATCCGCGCCAACCACCGAATCGTTGAGAAGGAGGTCTCCGCCGTGATCTCCGGTGTCTCCGATGCCGCCGATGGTGACATGTCCCAAGACGAAGCCGTTCAGCATCTCAGTTCTATCGTTTCCAGATTACAAGGCCTCAAAAGGAAGGTACATAAATTCCAAAAAACCCTTATCTTTTATGTTTGGTCTCTTGTTTCTTACTGATTTACTGATAGGACTCATATCACGTTATCTTTACCCAAATGAACCAAAAAATTAGATACAATTTGTTCTGCTTTTGGACCTAAAAAAATTGGCACCTCTGGTAAGACTAGTCCAACTAATTGGCCGTGTCTTCTCTGTATTTTTTGAAATTGGATGGTATATATATATATATATATATATATACAGTTTTGTCAATTTTCCCGATGATGAGTTCATGGCCAGTGTAAATTTGCATTTTAATTGGAGTACTCGTTGATTTCATTTGCTGCAGAAAATGTCAGAAAATGTAGCTTATATCAATTCAGGAACTTTTAATCCTCATTGTTATTATAATTCTCTTAGCTATTATTAAGTATTGATTAGTTATTATTTTCAACGCCTACATTACCTTCGACCAAGGAAACACAGATATGGATACGGATACGACTGAAATACAATACAGATACAAAAATATGACAAAACTTAAAAAAAAAAAAATTGAATATGGATACAGGTAGTAGACCTCAATAATGAAATATGTTCTATAGGCTTGATAGTTGTATATATTGTCTTGTTATGGTATATTCATAAAGTGAATGTGATTAATTAAAGGGATTAAAATCAACATTTAACTAGTTGATTTGCTTAGAAGTATTTGTTTGCTAAGATTATAGTGTAATTAACTCATGTATACTCTTTTAACATGTGATAACGGATAATACTTCAAGTACGTGAATTCGAAAGGAGGGGGGTAAAGATTAAAATTAAATACTATATATCTATATTGCTATGTGTATAGAAGTATCCACTAAATATTAACATATTTTATTTAATGAGACCGTATTGTATCCGATATAATATCTGTACTTCAACCTTGATAGAGTATCCGTGCTTGGCTCAAGCTAAAGTAGTGCAACTATTTGGCTTTGTTGTTTGAGTAACTTCTACCTCTGAGTACTAGTACCTAATTGTTATGGTCTGAACAATCAGCTGGAGGAGGGGACTCGTACGGAGCATTTGCAAGCACAGAAATGTCGGGCTCGACTGGATCACTTAGAATCTGTGGAGGTGGAGAACTTGTCAGAGTGGAACAATATGCGCTTGAAGCGGATATTGGTAGACTACATGTTGCGAATGTCATATTATGACACCGCGATGAAGCTGGCAGAAAGCAGTAATATACAGGTGATTTTACTTGTCCCTTAAAAGTTTGTATCCCTTTAATGTCATCATGTTTCCTTTACTTATAAGAAAACTAGTGTTGTTGTGTTTGTAGGAAAATTCATGGTTCAGCTTGTTGTATTGACTTCTGTAAGATTCTTGTAAGATTATGCTAAGTATTAGGTTAATTACATTCTGTTATTAGGTTCACAAGATTTATAAAACTAAGTGATATGTTGATGTCAATTGAACTTTTGTTTATAAAGTATGGCTTGACATATGAATAGACACAAAAGGTAATGGACAATCACGAGTTGACACGCGGTGACCTAATGTCGCCCAATTTCATTCCTCTGTTGTCTTTATCTAGGTCTCTATGCTTTACGTAGCAATTACCCTTTTGCCTAGAACATTGTATGATTTGTGGTCTTTAAAAGTATAGGCTGTAATTAGGGATGCCAATTTTTGGCATGACACGAACCTGAAATGACATGAACCTCGAAATTACATGACTAGTTAGCACGTGTAATAAAAGGACCGGGTTAACTGACAAATGGTCCCTTTAACAAACAATATACAATAAGATTTTTTTTTTCATTTATTGATCTAGTAATATCAGAATTGTTGTAGAGCTAAATATATATAGATTTTTTGGTTTTGCTAAATGTGCGTTAAGTAGGTTTTAAATTTATGATTGCCTCTATGAGTCTATGTCTAAATGACATGACATGACTCGATTGACACCCACAGCTATCAGTTTTGTTGCATGTTTTTGTTACACTATTTTCTCGTGATCTTTTTGTGCCAGGATCTTGTTGATGTAGACGTCTTTCATGAAGCAAAAAAGGTTATTGATGCTCTTCAAAACAAGGAGGTAGCTCCTGCCCTAGCCTGGTGCGCTGATAACAAGTCTAGGCTGAAGAAGTCCAAGGTATATACTTTTTGTTTGTTTTAGCTCATTAACAACCATGAAGAAGATTTTACTGCTGAATTATTATGTGTTTGGTTGCCTTTCTTCATCTTTGATGTCTTAAATTTTTTGAACCTGTCATACAAGATTTAAATACTTCAACGAAATCCTTACATTCACCCCATAACAAGCTAATAATTAAGCAAGAGAGATGATTGAGGCCACAACTTGCTAATCCTGCATCCAACAGTGTATAGATTCATGGGGCTATGATGATGGTTCCTTGACTTTTGTTCTGTGTGAGTTCCGGGGTTGTTGGTCATGTAGAGAATTTCTCACTGTCAATTAAGGAGAATGACACACAGTGAATAAAATAGTTTTTTGAGATGTCCATTTGCAGGCATACTTCATTTCCACATTTGAGAAAGTTTGGTATTGTTGTAGTTGCTTTGTGTCGACTGACAACGGGCTCATACTTTTTAAAAAGTCTGAAAAATCTCATCTAAATGAATTGTTCTGACAGTAAAATTGGTGCATAATTTTCTCAATTTTTCCGGGTTAACAATGGAATTATAGGTTTGTTAAACGTTTTTTAAAACCATTTGGCATGAATTATCCTGGCTGTAAAAATTTACTGCACAAGCATCTCAACTTTGCCTGGTTCCCTTTAATCTCATAATCAAAGTTGAATGGAAGTAATGCTCCTTTCTTCAGGGCCTCCAAGGTCCGGGCTCAGAGCCTGGGATGGATTTCAAGATGTTCCTGAGAAAACGTAGACGGCGAGGAGCTCTCTCCCATTATCGTTCAAGTAATTTTTGAAATAGCTGTGTACACCGGCTGCTGCCATTAAAGTTTGTTTGTAGGTGTTAACTAAAAATACTCAACTCAACCAAACCTTGTACCCCATTATTTAAGAATTTATTAATCCTAGATGTGTTAGCACATAATTCTTGGTGTGCACTGTTATTTGGAAACTATACTAGTGCTTAAAAAATTGCCAGTACAGTAGTAAAACTTGCAGTGTTGTTATTCTCCTAGTTTTTTGAGTTAGGATTGCTTCACTTGCAGCATTTTAGACACATTGTTTCTACTTTTTGAATACTGAATGCTTTTCTTGATGACAGAGCAAATTCGAATTTCAGTTGAGGCTTCAAGAATTCATAGAGTTTGTGCGAGCTGAAAACAACATGCGTGCTATTACATATGCGCGGAAGTACCTTGCACCTTGGGGAGCTACCCATCTGAAAGAATTGCAGCGGGTCATGGCTACACTGGCTTTTAGAAGTAATACTGAATGTGCTACGTACAAGGTGGAATACATATTTCTTGACCTGCTTACATGTTTTTCCATGTCACTGTGAATGGATGTACATTTTTGTTATGTGCAATAGAAATACAGAGATACATCCACTGTTGTATGTACTTTACCTCTAGCTTCCTCCCAAACTTTGAAAGCAGTTTTGCTGCTTTTGCTTGTATTGCAGAGCTGCATATACACAAGCTCAAAGTGGCTAGCAAATTGATTTTGTCCCAGGAAAGTCTGTTCCTAATAGTTTGCTAGTACTAGTAATGACGGGATGCGATAGTTGTATGGGTAGTGTCTATGATGGCCCATAAGGATAGGAATATTCTGTCAACTACTTATATATTATACTAGTAGAGGTCATGACAATCCACGAAGATGGAAACATTTTGTCAATTAAATGCATAATATATTAAAAATGCTTTTAGAATGTTAGTGATGATGGCAACAGTGGTTGATGGATTTGGTGTTATTTGTGATACTGGGTTCAGCAACTTACTGTTTTTTCAAAATCACCTTTTTCTGGATTACAAGTTCTGATTTATTCACTGAAACCTTAAAAGTATGCACAACATCGAATAAGAGTTTTCTAAGTTGTTTCTATGCATCACCTGGTTTGTATCTGCCACATACATGATATTTATTGCCATGTTGATGTTACTTTTAATCTTCTTAATTTTCTCTCAGATACTCAGAATAACTCTTGCTATTAAATTGGTTTTTTCCTTCCATATAATAATTTGCATACGGGCCCACTATATTGCACCCAATTCTCACCAATATGCTACAACGTATACTAAGAACTTAGGTTTCAGGTTAAGACCCACCATAAATCTAGACTTTGACCATTGACTTCTTACAGAATCCTCCCTCCCCCCATTCTTTCTTTTTTCTTTTTACTCACATGATTTGGGTTAATGTAGTAATGTCACTTAGATGTCTTTTTTTTTTTTTTTGTGGTGGTTTATTGCAGGTTTTATTTGAACCAAAGCAATGGGATTTCCTAGTGGACCAATTTAAACAGGAGTTCTGCAAGTTATATGGCATGACCCTTGAGCCTTTGCTGAATATTTATCTGCAAGCAGGCTTGTCTGCGCTGAAAACTCCGTATCCTTATATATCCCTATATAATGACGTCTTAATAATGTGGTATTCATAATAACTAAATGGATCTTTCCTGACATTTATGCTTGTTAAAATCTAACGTGATAATTTAAAGTGATTCTATCATTTTCGACCTTTATATATAATTTTATAGCCTTCAAATCAGAGGGTCAGGAACCACTGCCTAGTTCTGTGGTAAAGTGCTCCGGCTGTCAAGCATGAGAATGCAGGTTTATATCTGAGACTAGCCATTTGTGCAAATATGCCAGTGATTCAGTGGCCCGGTCTGCATCCAATCTACCCTTATAGGATCCTGTGTAGTAGGACCCCACTGGCTAATGCCATTTTTCAAAGAGTATGTTGTGACTTGTCAACAGCAATCACCAAAGTATGTTGTGTCTTGTGGCTTCTGTGTTGTAATATTGCCTGCATATCCCCAAAAGTTGTATAATCAAGATATAGCCCTGTAACTGTTTCCGTTGAAGGAGCATGCCACATCTCTATTTCTTATTGTGCTGATTGTTTTGCATGAACTCCCACGTTTACCCAAATACGTGCTTTTGCCTTGACATGATTTAGATTATGTTACGAAGATGATTGCACCAAAGAGGACCCTCTATCACAAGAGAGCTTCCGCAAACTAGCACAGCCACTACCATTTTCAAAGCAGCATCACTCAAAGCTCGTCTGTTACATAACTAAAGAAGTAATGGACACAGAGAATCCGCCATTGGTCTTACCTAATGGTTATGTGTACAGTACCAAGGTTCGTATTATTCTTGTCGTAAAAGTCGTAATATTCTGAGCTAATTAGTCTTACTTATATTGTGCATTGTCAGGCCCTCGAGGAAATGGCCAGCAAGAACAATGGAAAAATCATCTGCCCAAGGACCAGTTTGGTCTGCAACTATTCAGATGTGGTGAAGGCATATATTTCGTAATTCCACGAATCTGGGCAGATCTTGTTACACCCTTTGGAGTCTGAAGCTGTTGAGGGTTGATTCCCTTCTTCCATGGAGAACTTTCCCTGCATAGTTATTCTCATGCCCATGGCTTCATTCAGGGTAGGAGATGTAATACGTGTACATATATGTACTGTTTCTAATTTCTGTTGTTGACTATTATTTGAAGCAAAATGAAACTGGACATAGTTACATCCAAAGATGTTGGTTTGAATGTTGTATACATTTTTAAAGAGGAAGACTATGATACCACATCGTACTGCAAATTACAATGTTTTAAAAAGGCATGATCGATTTTAAAGTATTATGATTAATTGCGAAAGTTATGGCATTTAAAAATCTAGTTTTAATTCGTAAAAGATAAGTTATAATTTGTTGAAATAATTTATGACTGATCATGAATAATTTGAAACAATTGTAATTTTATTTTTTTAAAATTTTTATTATCAATAGCCATAAATGACTTCAAAAAAAATATTTAGGACCAAAAAACTATTTAAAAGAATGGTATAAAATAGTGAATTGTGGATGGAAATTTAGGTGGTGTTTGATAAAAGTGAAAGTTGAACACTGAAAATTGATTATTAAATTTTAAGTGCTAAATGTTGAATTTTTTAATTCGCAGATTATTTTGGTATCAATTGAAATTTAAGTATTGAATTTAATTAAACTGTTTGACAAATATAAGGAACTGAAGTTCAAAAATTATTATTATTCTAATTTTGTCATTTTCTTTTTCTATCTTTTTGTGACTACCTTATTCCTATTACTATCATTAAAATGGTGGTGATGATAATGATCGTGGTGGTGGTAACGACAATGGTAGTGATGGTGGTAGTGGTGGCAACGGTGGTGATGGTGGTAGTGACGATGGTGGCGATGACACAATGGTGGTGAAAGTATATTTGTCTGTTATAAAAAATTGATAAAATTCTTAGTGACTAACATTTTCAATATTAAGTGATAAGTATATAGTTTGCTACTTAAAATTTTAGTCTATTTTAAAGAAATATTTAAAATATTAAGTAGTATGAGTTTTAGATTATCAAATGAATTTAATTTATTAAGTATTTAAAATATTCAATTTTAAGTGTAAAATGATGTTATCAAACAACCCTTTAATTTGTCAAGAAACTATCTACTACGCTCTCTTGTCCTCAATTTATGGATAACATTACGGTGCTGACAAAAAGTTTGATATTATATTAAAAATTATTATTTTTTAAAGATAAAATTATAATGTTTTAAGATCAGTTTAATTAGTTATAATTGCTCTTTTATGAGTTATAAATTAATTTTTATGATTGATTTAATAATTTACACTTAAAAACGTAACAACTTAATTTTAAAATATTATAATTCTTAGTACCGTACTTAAAACAGGACAGAGTCGAACGGCTTGGATTCATCATCCATAAACAACAAGCGGCAAAGGAATGGCCTTTGATTTCCTGGTAATTACAAATAATTGCCAACTTGGAAAAGTTTGACCTGCAAATGGCCAATGGAATCGTCTCTTGCCATGTCATCAATCCGAATAGAACAAAAGATGTTCCTAGTCCTTAGATAAACGATCGACGGCACGTGATGCTCTCTCAATTCTTCGACACGGATCGATAACCAGACGCTCCTCACTACAAATACCCCCCGATGCCAAACCCATCCCCATAACCAAATCTATTCTCTCTTCTGTCCGAGGCTCAAGCAAGATTTCGCATCAAAGGTTCGCCTCTCTCTCTCTCTCACATTTGTTTTTTAGCTAGATTTCATCTTCCATTTTTTTGATCTTAGATTTTAATTGGGTTTTACGATATCCAAGTTGGTAATCCACATTGTTCTGCTCGTTCAATTGTAAAACTAGGGTTTTTGTACCTCACTGTCAATTTTTGATTTCTGTTATTGAATCACAAGTTTTGATTTGTTTACTGTTCTTCAATTAACAGCAGAAGCAATTTCGAGGTCTCTGTGTCTGTGTGGTTGCTGATCGAAAATGTCGGGACGTGGAAAGGGAGGCAAGGGATTAGGAAAGGGGGGAGCGAAGCGTCACCGAAAGGTTCTTCGCGACAACATCCAGGGAATAACGAAGCCTGCGATTCGTCGTTTGGCTCGCAGAGGAGGTGTGAAGCGTATCAGTGGTCTGATCTATGAGGAGACTCGTGGTGTGCTCAAGATTTTCTTGGAAAATGTGATTCGTGACGCTGTGACCTACACCGAGCATGCTCGTCGCAAGACCGTGACTGCCATGGACGTGGTCTACGCGCTCAAGCGACAGGGTAGGACTCTGTACGGGTTTGGTGGTTAGGGTTTTTGACTCGAAAAAGTCTTGCTGTCAAGAAGATGGTTACCAAGAAGAAAAATTGGGGTTTGGGTGTTGATGGGTTAATTAGTTTTTTTTTTTTTTTTTTTTTTATCTTTTGTGGGTTACCATGTTCTTGTAATTAGCTAGATTTTGCGTAATGGAATTGGAAAACTTTCTGAACTGCTTTGTTTGATTCAAAATTTTGTGTGCAGTTTGTTTCCATTTTTGTTTTTGGGTTAAATTTCATTTTCTCCATACAAAAATTCACAATTTACTTTTAAATAATTAATTTTTTTCACATTTTTCTTTAAATAGATAAAAAAATATTGCTATCCACCACTAGTCTCTTGAAAGTCCACCATGCATCCAACCCACTATGAGCTCCCAAAACCTGTCACCACTACTAGCCTTCTGAAAATTCATCACGCAACCCACCACCACTAGCCCCCAAAATCCACCACACCTCCTTGAAAACTCACTATCTAACCCGCCACCAACATCAGTTCACCATATCCCCTAAAGCTTTGTCAGAAGGAGCTTTGCCCATAATTGTAGATCCCACAGAGGCGAGAGACAAGTAGGGGAGGGAGTTTTTTTTTTTTTTTTAGCTTCATGTATCACAAAAATATCTTATTTTTTGCTGCTAATGAAAGTTGAAGATTGTACCTCATTAAAAGTCTTCATTAGCCTTGTGTTTTTGTTTTTTGTTTTTTGTGTTTTCAAAAACATTCTCTTTTTCTTGTTTTCAAAAAAAAAAACAAATTGAGCCAAAAAAAATAAAATTGGGCCAAATGTATTATTGTTTTTGATTTTAACAAAAACATGAAAAAAAAAATAAAGGGTTATCAAACTCAACCTTAATCTTTCAAAATTCAACTTTGTTTCAATTGTTTCCAAATATTTTTTGTTTATGAGCTAATTAAAATTATTCACCGAAATAAAATTTTAATTATTGGTTAAAACTTCAGATCATGGGTACTTGCTAATGATCGGAAGAATTATATTTGCTCGATTTGAAAATAGGGGGAAATTGAGGAAAAAACTTGATAAACCCAAAAATAGATTCAAACATGATGCTTGAAACAAAACAAATTCAAAATAACATTATTCATTTATTTATATAATAAAGAATAATACAATTTAAATTTTAAAAATAAACAAAATAATTTTTTTTTTTTTTGTGATTGACATTTTTTTAATTTTTATTTTAAAATTAATTTGACGGTTAATATTAACATTCTAAATTTAATAAATAAAATAAGTTTTTAAGTTTTAAGGATATTTTTGAGTGACTTTTTAAAAGTTTTTTTTAAGACTTATAACTTTTTATACATATTTTATTTAAATAAAAAAATAATGTTTGAAACTGTCTTATTATTCCCACCACCACCTTTGTGATAATAATCACCACCACCATCTTCGCCACCATGACCATCCCCATCCCCATCGCCACCTACTATCACAATCCACCACCAATCACTACCACAACTCACTACCACCTATCGTCCCTCACCATCGTCGCTAGCCACTGTTAGCCCACCCCACCGCACCTACCACCATCACCACCACCAACCATCGCCTACTACTGTCACCATCCACCTTCACCCACCCCTAACACCACCATCATCATTTATCACCACCCATCACACTGTCACCTAAAAGTATTCGTCGTCGTCCACTACCACCATCAACATAATCAACCATTGTCACCATCATTGTCATCTAAAATCTATTACCACCATCACCGTTGTCACTTACGATTGCCATTATCACCATGGTCATTGTCACCCATCAGAACTATCACCGTCTTCCATTATTACCATGATCATCGCCATCTACCATAACTATCACCGTCTCTCACTACTACCACTACCGCCCACAACCACTATCGCCTATTCACCCACTACAACCGGTGCTTAAATTTCTTTCTCTCCTCTATATTTATAATTTGATTTTAAGTGCGAATACAAATTTGTTTATCATTGATAATTTTTTTTTATTATTTGGTGCCTTCAAGCAAGGATAATAACTGGTCAATAAATAATGCAATAAATACAAAGAAGCACTTCAGTAACAAAAGTGATTATTAAGTCATTTTAACTTCCATATGACTATTTCTCTCTTAATGAGCTCCAGAAATTATACATGAGGTTTCATGGTAGCTCTCCCTTCTAGTTCTTCCTTCCCTTTTGGGTTCCTAGGCCAGAAGACGCATTTCGTGCCATTAGTCTTATAGCTATACTGGCATGCCCTAACGAGTTTTACATACCAATCACTTTGTGAGCCACACCAAGCTTCATCAGTCACCGCGTCGTAAGCTTTGAATGATGAGAAAGACACCCCTGGAAAATTAATGTCAGTTGAATTTCGTAGTCCCAAAGAAATTCACCCGAAACTGCCATTGGAAGTACGTATGATATGGGAGTACTTTTGGTCCAAGGTCATCCTCAGTAGATCTACAGTGACTATAAAGGGCCACGCCAGGTCCGAGGTCATTTATCACTCGCACAGTTGTTTTTGTAAGAGCTGCTTGGCACACTGTGAAGAAGAAGAAGAAGAAGAAGAAGAATAGCCCAAGAACCACAATGTGGGTGATCAAAGAACTCAGGGGATAAAGTGAGGCTTGTCTTATGTGAAATTGCCATTTTATATGCAAAAATGATATCATCCTAAAGATGGTAAGCCTTTTTCAAAGCTATTTTTCATATGCTCTCTTTGAATAGAAATCTAGTTTGAGGTAAGGTGATTCTTTGACTTGCGAAAATCTTTTAAAATTTTTGTAATCTTATTTATAAATCTTTAACAAGATTTTGGTATTCTAATTATTACAAAAATCTTATAAGCCAATGTGTGAGCGTTTAGGTGCACCAAGGAGAGCATTCTCTTGTGTCCATGGCTGCGGGGAACATGAAGCATGGATATTTTTTGTTTTGGTGAAAAATGTAAGGATGGAAAAAGTGTATATGGTTATTTCAGATTTAGTCCGAGGTACAAATCAAAATTTTGAGAAATTTTAGGGGGATATAATGCCATTCGCCTTAAACAATAGTACCTTCTTTGCGTATGCGTCTCTCTTTCTCTCTCTCTCTCTATATATATTGCTACCCAAATAATAATATCAACTTATTCAAATCACACATTAGAATTGCATTATCCAAACCAATGTTTGAGGAAAATTTGCAATAACGTGTATTGTAACTTTACATTTTCTTAATCATAGCCACTAAGAAATAAGAATACATGTTGGGTAAATTACACTATATTCCTTTCAATTGTGGTGCTAATTGTACTTTGCCCTTCAACTATTGATTTGAATAGATTATGTCTTTTTTTTTTTTTGGAATTCACGACAATTTATACTAATCATTCTAATTTTGAATCTCAAATAACTCACCGTTAGTCCTTTTTTTAACCCGGTGTCTTTCTCTGCATTTGATATCTTTGTTTTCCTATACTAGTTTGTTGTTTCTAGTTAAATACAAGCTATACATACATACATACATACATACATACATACTGTTTCGCTTTGAGTTTCAGTTTGCTTTAGGTTTATTCGAACTTGAACTGGCTGCGATGAAGTTTTGCATTTTTGTTTTAATTTATGCAATTCAAACTGTTTTTTTTTTTGTGTCTCATATTGAATTCATAGAATAAATATTTAAGATTGTTATTATGATAATACAAAATTTTATCAAGATGTTGATGAAATGATGATGAATAAGGTACGGAGTCCATAACTACGCTGGAGTAATTGATTATCCTATTGTCGTTCTTCTTAAATTTATTAACCCGAATCTTGCGTTTTTAAATTTATTTATCAAATAGCCTTTCTTTTTAATAAGACATGTTTTGAATAAGTTTCAAATGTCTATTAAAAAAGAAAAAAGAATAAGTTTGAAAACAATGGTAGTTGGATAATTAATTCACCACACTACCCCTGTTCACTCGAGGTAGCTGCCTCTTTCTCTCTCTCTTTCCTCGATTACAAAAAATTATTGTCAAATGTCTATGTCCTCAAACGATGTAAAACTATTTTTTTTTTATTTTAAATTGCAACTCAACTCCCAAGTCCACCCACAACAAGTTATTCAAGAACTTACTACAATCTTGATAGTTATCAGACATTTGGAGGTTACCCAAGTGGCAATTATAATAATTATACCAACTTGTGGCATTATTTTACTAGAGTTTCTAGATGAGCAAGAAGGGCTATAGAGTGTATTATTAGGCGATACGACATATAGAAGGGAAAGAACAAAAATCACGTACGCACTGGATTGATTACACTTCATCACTACTATTCAATTGTACACTTCTCATCAATCTCCAAACTACACCACCACGCACAGAAGTCCCCCATGCCCCGGGTGCAGAATAATTCAACTTAAAAGTGAGATAACATGCTCGTTAAGACATACATGAGTTCTAGTATCAAAAGTGTTTCTTTGTAATAACGTCCCTCTAACTTTGATGAATTGTTTGTTAACTTTTCCATTTCTAGTATCACAAAGTGTTTATTGAGTATCTTCTGCTGAATTTCTTAGTACAAACATCATCAGTGCTATATGGGGTGCTCCTAGGGATTGTGGTTTTTCAGCGAGAATGGATTTTTCGTCAAGTCAGTTTGGGAGGTGTGGATACACTTGCACGAATTCGAGTAGGGGTGACAATCTCGTATTGTATCATATCTAGTTAATTTTAATTTAACACGTTTACTAATCGTGTTATATCAACTCGTTTTATTTGTTTTAATATTGTATTGGTATTAAACCATAGAACCTCTAAATAAAAAATTTAACGTTCAGATTTAAGTCTAAAAATTTCGTTAGCACTTAATCGAACCTATGAACCTATGGTCATTCTTTTTCTATAAAAGAAAAAATAACTTAATAAGTATAATAATAAAAATGTAAACATATCTTTTTTTGTACAAGAATTATGTCACTTGATAAAAATTGGTATTTTATTATATATTATAATATTAGTTAATTGTGTCAATTTTGTTTTGTTTGTGTTTGTTATTAATCCGATCTATTTATTATTTGTGTTAAATTATTATATTATTTACGAATTCGTGTCAAAAAATAATCAATCATAACCAACTAATTTCACATCAATTTTGAGAAATATTTTTATATCATATCAA